GCCACGTGTACTGGTGTGTGCCATGTGCTGTGTGTGCCATGTGTGCTATGTACTCTGTGTGCCGTGTACTGTGTGTGCCATGTGTGCTGTGTGTGCTGTGTGCTGTGTGTGCCATGTCTGCGACGATGTTTGTTTCTCTTACCCACGCTGGGGTGCAGGGCCCTGGGCTGGTCCCCACGCAACCTGGATTTGGGAGCCCGTGTCCTCTGGGTCTCCTGTGCTGAGAGGCATACACGTGTGGCGGTTCATGGTCACAGCTCCCCTCTCCTCCCGCCAGGACTTCCTCCCCGCCGACATCCAGACGCAGTTCGCGGTCAGCCGGGAGCTGATCCGGAGCATCTACAACAGCTTCTACAAGCTCCGAGACCGGGCCGAGCGGATGGCGGCCAGGGCCATCGACAACGCTGCCGACCTCCTCATCTTCGGGAAGGAACTGAGGCAGGTGGCCCAGAGGCTCTCGGGGCCCGGGTGGGAGGGGCCTTAGGCTTTGGTGCTGGGCTAATGCATTTCTCATAAGACCCTGTTCTGACCTGTCCTACTTCTGAAGGGAGGGAGGGGGTGTACATGGGGTTCACCCCTAGAAGGAGAGGTGGAGAGTTTAGGCAGATACTTGGATTTCCACACACGGCGCTTGCCGGCTCCTCATAGGCCATTTCCCTGCTGTCAGGATTAGACCTCAGATTGGTTTGACTTTGAGAAGGACATGGCGGCTGTGGCTGGCCCCCCACCACCCCCCCAGAGGACTTCCCTGGACTTCGCCCTCCACGGTTCTGGGCTGAGGTCCTTCCTCCCCGCAGCCTCCAGGCGTCCCGTGGCCGCTGAGCAGCGAGGGTCCCGGTCAGAGACGTGCGGGGACCCCATGACGTGTTGGGCGGAGGCCGGTGTCAGCTTGGACTGCCGGCAGCTTCCGGGCCCTGAGTGTCTCCTGTTGCGTTTTCCTTCAGCGCTTTAGGGTCCGACACGACCCCGCTCCCCTCCTGGGCCGCTCTGAACAGTAGCACGTGGGGGTCCCTGAAGCAGGCGCTGAAGGGCCTGTCCGTGGAGTTCGCTGTGCTCGCAGACAAGGCCGCACAGCAGGTGAGCGATG